AGGAGAAGCTGTGATAAGACACAGCACAAAAACTGCCAGAACTTCTGAAACAAGGGGCTAAAACATCTCCTGTTACAAGACTAACAAGATGATTATCATAACTTACATAATACGGTGTTTGGTGTTTTAGATATGCTACAAATGCACAGTTACACAGTTCGTTCAGGATGACTTTTCCAGAAAAGCCACCCCTTTTCGCCACCAGGACATCCCCTAGTAAACATTAATTAACAGTTTAAGTAACCCATCAGAGATGGGTTTCAAATGATGTCTTTCAAAAATGAGGATTTATTTATAATAAATAAATTATAAACTTAGAATATATATAATAAGTGTTATACCCTACTAGTACTGAGGTATTTTTCTATTCATGTAAATTAACTTGATTCATTGAAATGCAGACTGGTTTTTTAGGGAGAATTCATCATTAGCAACCAGTACTGACTCGGGATTTTATACAAAACATGAAACTTACCCACAGAGTTTGTCATTATCTGGAGTATCTTTTGCATTGACGGAAGATGCAGCATTTCAGCTGTGAAGGTATCTTGAACCAGAATGGGAAAAGTATATTTAGGAACTAACATCTAAATTAAAAAGCGCAGAAATGGAATAGCAGTATGACATAGGAAGACCAATGTACATTACATGTAAAACAGGTTTTTAAACTCCTTCTCATTCAAAAATTCCTTTTTCAGAATAAGTAGATAGTCATTGTGTGGTACAAGGCTCTTGTAAAATTGGGCAACATATACCTATTTCCTTAAATGATTGAAATTTGTGTGATTGAAATGATTTAAAATGCTTATGAACCTGGAATAAAATATAGTTCTGGGTAGAAACTGCAGGAAGATTTTTCAGCCTGAGATGAAGGGTCCCAACTGAGCTACAGTGTGGCTGGCTAACATGGTGGACTATGTGGAAAAGATTTTTCAGGAAAGTCTGACTACTTTATTGAACTAAGATGCTTGGAAAAGCATCTGTTTTTTCAAGCAAGACAAAACTGAAGGAACTAAGTAAAAGAACAACAGTGTAAGCTTATTCCCTGAAAAGATGAAGGTGGAGTGTCAATGCTTTTCTCTTCCCAGAAGGAATGTTATTGTAGTAACACATTCCATAGCAAGTTTGATGTATTTTAATGATTAAGGTATTTATTGTACTTTTATTGTGGCATAGATCTTTTTCTGTACTGTTCACTTTATGAACTTCTGGCATCCGTCTGTTATGGTTCCAGATCATAGTTGTTGTCAGATTGTTGGGACAAACTGTCAGGCGTTTTCTAAGTTAATGACATTTATCGCTGGTTCTCCTGACAAATGAACGTTTGTTGACCATGGCTCTTCTGACATTACAAGGGCGATTATTTACAGCGGTATGGTAGCTCTGTGATAAGAGCTCTTAGTCATCACAGGCTACAATTATATCTTTCCAGTACTCCTGTTGTAAATAATTGAAAAAAAAGCGTGAAAGGGAATGAATGCTTCCCTCAGAGAGGAAATTACACAGAGGACTAATATTCTGGTTCTGGGAAAAGCAGGTAGAATCATAGGTAAGCACTTTAGAGAAATTTTCCTTTACTTTTTGTAGGAACAGTGTTCTAGTGGGGAAAGCAAACAGGGAAGTAGTAATGGTGGCACAAATGGTCATGCCGAAACTGTACAAAAGCATTGGACTCTGCAGAAATGACTCACTTAGCATATTGCCTGATAGCTCATTAGCCTTTGTGTAAGGAGAGGAAATAAACTATTCTGCACTTTTGGTGAATAAAATGAATGAACTG